AAAACATACTTGTTTCAGTTTTATTATCATGATATAAGCAAGAGTATATGTAGCTGTTATTTGTTGATTTTCTATATACTTTTAATATATTAGGTCAGTGAATTATCATTTTCTATTTCAAAGGTAAATTCATTAGTTGGTTGAATATTTTATGTATCAGTGTTTTGGGGATAAATGATTAAGATGTCATCAATATATCTGAGGCGTTTTTATTTTATTTTATAGATTTATTTATTTTGCTTTTTGAGATGGGGACAAATTGTTACAATCTGTCTTTATAAGTTATAGCAATAAACATGCCAAACAATCACTAAAAGAGCGACCTGGAGGGAGTCCAAATTTGTTTGTAATAATTGTAGAATTTGAAATAACATATTGATGCATATATAATCTATATTGATTATGGTATCTGTATATAAGGATAAATTCATTTATTTTTAAATGTTCTAATGAATTAAGGCATGTATTAATAGAAATATTAGTCTACAGAGATTTAATATCTAAACTAGTCATAACCTTGTTTTTTCATGTCTATATCTTTGATTTTATTTAGTATGTCACCAGAATTCTTTATATATGCTGAACTAAAAGAGCCAAGTAGTGATAACTCGAACAATCTTGTGAGTGGGTGGTACAACCAATACTAGAAATTATTGGTTGCATTGGAATATTAATTTTATGGATATTTGGTAGACTATGTAATATATATTCTATGTAGGATGACCATATTTTATTCATTTCCATCTTCCTTGTGAGTTTTGTTTTTGCTTCTTTTTTTTCATAGGTTTTATTTGCTTATTATTTTTGTGGTATGTATCAGGATTTATAATTACTTTGCCTTCACCTTTGTCAGATGTCATTGTTTGCAAATTTATTTAGCCTATTTAAATATCTTTTTGGTAGAGTGGTCTCAATTTTTTTTTTTTTTTTTTTTTTTTTTAGTAGAGATTATACCTTGTATAAATCCTTTTGTGAAATGGTCATTGTGTTTGTAATTCCAGATGATACTATTGTAAATCCTGTTTCTTTTTTTTCTTTCTTTATATCCTTGAAGCAAATTTTAATCAGAAGTTGATGAATTTGATTTCCATGTATATGAAATGGAATTTATTTTATTTAGTATTTCCTATGTATAAATCTCATTGATTTTCTCATGGATATTGATTTTTAAATTTTATTTACTGTTAAAATTTTGTAAATTAACCACACCATTTTTTAATAGCAGGGTAGCCATAGTCACAGTTTTACTGAGGATTTTTGCAATTGTTTTGAAAATACCAGTTGAGAAAATAAAGTTTTAAACATTCAGCTAATTTTCACATGTTCCATGCTTTGTTCAAATATTTCATATCATTTATCATATGAGAGATAATTTTATGCTTTTATAATATTCATTTAAAGAAAAAAATCCTTCTCATGCAAGTTTTCTATAAACTAAAAATATCTTTGAGCTTTTTTTTTTTTTTTTTTAATCTGAATATTTTACATTTAAATCTTATAACACCAGAAACAATTGTATGACTTAAATCTCTCAATTTTTCAAATCAGGACTACTTAATTTAAATAAATTTAAGTATTGATTTAATACAGAATATTTCTGCAATATCATATAGGTTAAGTTGAGCAAAGCAAATTTTAATCTTATATCCACATAATCATATAGGAACATGTAATTGCAAATAATTTTTTTTTTTTTTTTTTTTTCAGTTGAAGTTCATAAAATAAAAACTCTATTCTCCTCTTAGTTTCATACTCACCCCCGGAAAATAGGGTCAAATGTGTTGTAATATGTTGATTTTGTAGGCAAGTAGGTTTTTAGGGAGTGGAGTCATATCCCACATCCAACCAGTTTTGAATTCAACATTGTCCTTCTCCTAGACTGTTTGCCAACAAAGACTAAAGATTAGCCCAATCTGATTTGTTATTTATATTTAATCTCTAGGACAAAGAAGAGATGGATTCATAACTATCCCTTGGGTATTTATGCAAAAGGGAAATATTCTAACCTCAATTCATTGATTCTAACTTCTACACTGAAAATCAGTGCACTTCCCTAACAGAAATAGATATTAACAAAATAGGACCTGATCTTAATGATTTATGTAAGCAATTAATAGTAAGCTTTACTTTCTATAATACAATGTATATATCTTACAAATATTTCATATATAGTATATTTGATTTTAATTACCATTGTAATATTTTGAAAAGCTAAAACATTTCAAACTGTCTCAAATTGATGTCAGGAATAGGTTCATAGAATCCTTTAACCCCTATGCCCAGGCAAATCACAATTAATTTGTGTTTGTGTGTGTAAATTTCATTCACTTTACCCCCCACCCCTCCCAAAACAAAAACAACTCTTTTTTTTTTTTCTTTCTTTTTTTTTTTCTTCTAGTTTTCACCCTGTTCAAAATCATGTATTCTCCAACACATAATTTTAAAATATTCAAAAATTAAAAACAAATTTTTGGAAACTTGTCTTAAAATTTGAACTTATAAGCCTGTAAATTCCAAGGGTATTCTGTTTAATTTTGTAGTTGAAGAAGTTAAAAGAAATATATATATGTATTTTTACTTATGCAGAGAAAAGGATAGAAAAGTATTAACTGAAAAATGTCAGATTAAATACTTTACAATTCTTTTTTTCTTTGGGTAAGTAAAAAAAAAAAAAAAAAAAAAATTCTCTCACTCTTTTTTTTTTTTTTTTTTTTTTTTTTTTTTCTTCTTCAGCTATATAATTTTTATTCTTCCAACTTGTTACAAATTGAATTTTTCTTTTTCTAACACTATTTTAAATTGCATAAATGGGTCAGTGTGACTCATTTTAATTTTCCTCTTAATATACTTGTCAAGACAGTGAATGAAAAGATGTTTTAAAACAATTCTAATATTTCAATACAAAGTAATATTTACATTCCATTTTCTTTTCTTATTTTTCCCAAAAAATAAAATCTCTATGTGATATTGGAAAGATATTTTTTTATAAATTATGCAAACTTTCTAAGTATGAAACATTGTTTCATTTTTTTTATTTTTAGTATGTAATTGATGTTTTTTAGGAATGGCTATTTTTGTTAGGAGGGCAATTGAAGTGCTATTCATAATTCTTAATGAAATCTAAATGAATATAAATAAACCTAATTTTTTATTTCTGTGTACTTTTTTATTTTTAAAATCTCTCTAGAGAAGCACAAATAAAAATCTATTTCCAATGTATTTATTTTCTGGGACAATATTAAGATCTTTTAAAGTGATATAATTATAATCAGCAGGAGGATGCAAAAAGAAAATACAAGTGAATCTGTACTCTGTATATGAAGTACTGTTAATAAGACATTTTGTCAAAGGGTCTCTGTCATCATTCATCATTATCATTCATAAAGATAAAAATGTCATTCTTGATCATAAGCATTTATTCTTTATCATCATTTTAATTACTCACATTTTACAATTTTGTGTATATAAATTTAAATTTTATTAAATTGTAAATATAAAGATATTTTTCTTCTGTTGATGATCCAAACTTCATTTCATAAAATTATATTAACACTGATTTTATATATTATTGTCATTAAAGTTTCTCTTGCTTTAAGTGCGGATTAAAAAAAAAAAATAATGAAAGAAATTTAAAGCTTTGCTCTTTTCATTTCAAGGTATGTATAAATACCATTTTATATTAGTAACATTCACTTATGAGCAATGTACAAAATTTTAATCAATGTATGTTTCATATATTTGTCAGTAAACAGTATTTTTACTGATAATAACCATTTGTTAATTTAGATTTCTTTTCTCTCCCCTTCCCCCTCCATTTTTTTTATATAAAACAGATATGTGTCTTATGCAAAGGTGCATCCTATTCACCAGCAAATATGGTATTGCTATATTAAGTTTTTCATCCACTCTCTCCCCCTATTCAGAATTTTATTAATTCACTGATCTTTCTCACCATACTCAGAGTGACTCTATGAAATCATCTCGCGTGTTTTTACTAATATATCTTCCTAAATATACACACATAAATTGTCTCTGGTATATGATTAAAAATGTTTTGTAAATTTTGTACTTTAAGATTGAGTGGGGTTCCTTCTCTTTTATTGAGATATAATTGACCTACTAATTACTTTCCCTCTAATATGTGGACCATTGTTTTTTTAGATACATATTTATGTTTATCCTAATGAAAAAGAATTCATTGTGCCCTTTCCATATTTGTAATTTCCCATATTTCAAAATATTCTTATAACAGATTATTTATTCTGCATGTGTATGTGCCCTTAATGTATACATATATTCTATTTTCATTTTTGTCAGTAATTACTGAAACTTGACTTCCTTTTAATAAAGCATATTTCAAAGGAGATTCTTCCATGTTAATATTTTTTGCATATAACTGCCATAGAAATGGAAGAAAATTTCAAAGAATTATCACAATAGCAGAATGATCTAAAAAAGTTTCACTTAATGCAACCCATTTCTATTTAACTCTGCCCCCTCCCATTTTATTCTCCCCAAGGCAATCCAAATGGGAAAGTTATCAAAAAGCTGATTTTATCTATATAGATTTTGTAAAAAAAATCTTTTAAATGAATAAATCTTTCAATGATGTTGAATAGCTATGAAATATTTCATAGAAATTGTTTTACATTAATAAAACTCTTCATTTTATAGCTTTTTCAAAGTTTCAATTACTGGTAACAGTCTAAAAAAAAGTCAGTTTATTTAATGTTTCTTATATACCAATTTGTGCTAGGTGTGTAATCTTTTAAGATCTGCACATTTCTTTAAAAGAAAGGTGAGCATTTAAGCAATTATTTTGGTAAATACACTTATGACATAAGTAGGCATAATTTTGAGTAACTGTAACTGCAGTTCATTTGTTTTTTTTTTATTTACAAATTATCTTTTTATTGTGACCTGTTTATTTATTTTTGAAACTAATTAAACTTTAGATCACAATGTCTGTTTTTCTCTCTTATTGAATTCATTTATTGCAGTCATCAAATGAAAGTGAAGTTGAAGAATCTAGTGAGGATGCTTCTTCAATCAATGACTCTCGAACTGCTTCACATACTGACCTACCCAATGAAATGGACTCTGTGCCTTCAGCTATTGCTTCAGAGTCTCCAAAGTCAAGGAATGATTCATTTTATGATCAACCCTGGAACAGTGGCCAAAAAAATTATTCTTTGCCAAAGCAGTCTAATCAACCTAAAGGTCATCAATTCACTGTTACTACTTTCAATACATTACACAAATGTAATCAGTGTTTTTCATTATTGATTGGTATACAAAGACAAGGAGCAATTTGTAAAAGTAAGTATGTTTTCTATCATATATATTTTTGTTAATTATACTAACATAACATTGGTGTTAAAATAATATAGTAATTTTCTCTATGTGAAAGAGAAAAGACTTGTAAATTTTATTTTTAAATTTACAATTGTCTATCTTTATTGTTACTGGGAATATATATGTAAAGCTCTTGTGTGTGTGTGTGTGTGTGTGTGCATTAATTTGAAAGCTGAAAATTGATATAACTGTGTTCATCAGAACTTGGAAATTTTTCTGTCTTGCATGCTACTGGGTCAGGAGTTAATTTTAATAGTATATAACTGAAAATTCAGGTTTTAAACAAGCAAAAATTCTTAGTCTCTCAAACTACTTTCCTTTTCTCTCTCTCTCTCTCTCGAACTACTACTATTACTCTCTCTCGAATTACTACTACTATTACTCTCTCTCGAATTACTACTACTATTACTCTCTCTCGAATTACTACTACTATTACTCTCTCTCGAATTACTACTACTATTACTCTCTCTCGAATTACTACTACTATTACTCTCTCTCGAATTACTACTACTATTACTCTCTCTCGAATTACTACTACTACTCTCTCTCGAACTACTACTACTACTACTACTCTCTCTCGAACTACTACTACTACTACTCTCTCTCGAACTACTACTACTCTCTCTCGAACTACTACTACTCTCTCTCGAACAACAACTACTACTACTACTCTCTCTCGAACAACAACTACTACTAACTACTCTCTCTCTCTCAACTACTACTACTACTCTCTCTCGAACAACTACTACTACTACTCTCTCTCGAACAACTACTACTACTACTCTCTCTCGAACAACTACTACTACTACTCTCTCTCGAACAACTACTACTACTACTCTCTCTCGAACAACTCTCTCTCTCTCTCTCGAACAACTCTCTCTCTCTCTCTCTACTTCTCTCTCTCTCTCTCTACTGCTACTACTCTCTCTCTCTCTCAACAGCTCTCTCTCTCTCTCTCGTACAACTACTCTCTCTCTCTCTCTCTATTCTACTCTCCATGTCTCTCTCTCTCTCGTTCACTCTCTCTCTCTCTCGTACTACTCTCTCTCTCTCTCAACTCTACTCTCTCTCTCTCAACTCTCTCTCTCTCTCGTTCTCTCTCTCTCTCTCTCGACTACTCTCTCTCTCTCTCTCGTACTCTCTCTCTCTCTCTCGTACTACTCTCTCTCTCTCTCTCTCTCTCTCTCCTCTCTCTCTCTCGTGCTACTCTCTCTCTCTCTCTCTCTCTCTCTCTCTCTCTCTCTCTCTCTCTCTCTCTCTCTCTCTCTCTCTCTCTCTCTCTACTACTCTCTCTCTCTCTCTACTACTCTCTCTCTCTCTCTCTCTCTACTCTCTCTCTCTCTCTCTCATACTCTCTCTCTCTCTCTCTCTCTCTCTCTCTCTCTCTCTCTCTCTCTCTCTTTCTCTCTCTCTCTCTCTCTCTCTCTCTCTCTCTCTCGTACTACTCTCTCTCTCTCTCTCTCTACTCTCTCTCTCTCTCTCTCGTACTACTCTCTCTCTCTCTCTCTCTCTCTCTCTCTCTCTCTCTCTCTCTCTCTCTCTCAGGACTACTACTACTCTCTCTCTCTCTCTCTCTCATTGGATGATGTTCAGTGGGTGATTGAGTTTATCATCCAATGAACAGGAAATTAAATGTAAATTTTATTAAAAACCCACTTAGGGTCTCTGGTATGAAACGCTAATACATAAATAATTATTTTTAATATAAAGTCCCAAGTTTTAGTCAATTATTTTTTATTTTTGCAGGTGTACAGGTATACACCAAAGTTAAACTAAAAAATATGTCCAGTTTTTTTTTATAAAATGTATACAGTTTATTTATTATTTTCAAAACGAAATGTGAATAATTTTTCAATTTAATCCACAAATCCGAAGAATTAAAAAAAAATCATATTGCTAACCATAAATGTAAATAAATGACCATTAAAATGAAAGCTAGATACTCTTGAAAAAACTTTTTTTATGAACAAATGTGAGTGTGCAAAAGTTAAAATACAAATAAATCCAGTTTACTTATTTTTTTTAATTTTATAAAATGAATTCCATTGCATTTTCATAAAGAAAATCTATAAAAACAATAGTTGAAGTGATTTTTTTTAGCTGAGAGTTTTGGGGGAAAAAAAATACAATAAATGATTTATACAGTTTTAAAATGTATCATTAAAAAAAAATATAATGCCAGTAGATTCACCTAGAAATTTTGAAATATCTATTAATGAATTCAACTGTCAATATTCAGGCATTTGGTCAACAATTCAAATTTTGATCAGTCAGCCTAACAGTTTTGCACAAAATGGATGAAGTAGACCCTATTTTTGATTTGCATGGTGTTTCAAGTTGGCTTGGAACAGTGATATGAAACTAATAAACTGTTAAATATGAGACATTGTTCTACAAGATTAAATTTCCACTTAAGAGTTGACTGTTTCTTGTATTTCATCCACTAAAGTTTTCAAATTTCATGAAAAACAACTCCAGACCTATTTTAAGCTCACCAAATTGATGAGTGTCCTTTTTTTTTCTTTTAAAATGGAACTACTTTGATATGTATAGGGACACACAAGTTTTAAAAACACCAACATGAAATTTTCATCTTTTAAAGTGTGCAAAAGAAGTACCTGTGTTTGAAATGGTGATATTTCAAAGAGATGTAGAATAAACCTAATCACACAAGAGAACAAATTAAGAGAAAAGATTAATTTTTTGTTTACATCATTTATTGTATTTTTTTTGTTTAATCAAAATAATCTAAAAAAAAAAAAAAGTGAAATCTTGCCAGTTGAACTTGAAAGAAATTTCATTTTTTCACAGTTCATTGTAAACTAGGGAGATTTGGTATACCTATTATATGGGGGTGCTGAAAAATTGAACTTTTACAAGCAATGTAAGGAATGGGTGTCAATGGTAAAGTTCTGCAATCATCAACTTGGTGTTAGAAATGGCCTATTGCCGAGTTACCTCCCTTGTGGTGCGTGAGTGTTAACAATAAAAAAGGCAATTATAATAATACTAAACTGAGTTTGTATCTTGTGTTTATAAATATGATCATTGTGTCAGTTAATGGTGGCTCTTCACTTTTTTCCACTAGTCCTTGATATGATGATAAACTACATCTGGCAGTAAGGCCTCTGAACATATGAGATTTGAGCCTTTGAGGAGCATGGAACCACCTCTTAATTGCTTTTGTTCCCAGGTCCTTCTTGACCCAGGGTGGTAGCACCTGTAAGGGTCTCAACACAAACAAAACACTATGAAAATATAGAAATTGCTAACAGCAGCTATTGATAGCAAAATTGTCAACAATACATTTTATCTGTAGTTGAAGATATACAATTGTGTTCAAAATATTTAGATTTCAGAATTAAATAAGCCATAAAGGTTGATATGCTGCTAAACAAAGTCCAACCAAACCCAGGCAACACCAGTAAAGTATAAATTTTAGTTGTGACTAGATTGTAGTCATTGAAATATTAATTTCAGAAAAAAACAAAAAAAGTAGTGTGATGTTTGACAGAATGCAGCATTACTCTTAAAATTCAAATTGTTTGAATGCTTGCATTTGTGCTTTTTCTCCAATTTGAATGTAGGACAAATATGCTTATTTCATAAATATAACCTTTCAGATTGTCAATACCGATGTCATATACACTGTATAGAAAAAGCACCTTCAATATGTCCAATTCCAGAAGAACAAAGTAAGTTGTAAACTGATTTTAATTGTTGATGATAATATTTTCATATTTTATACTTGAAAATGTTTGATAACCTTTTCGTATTTGGAAATAAAATTAATATCTACTGGTTAAAAAATAGCAATATTGTAAATGTCCTGTTAAATTCCAGCAAATCAATTTGCTGGTTTAAAATTTTACTTTCATAGAATAGCAGCATCTATTTTTTTTTCTCCAAAAATTTATTCAGATTCTATATTTCACTGATAATATATTACAAATGAATGCCTAAATCTTTAAACACTTTATTTTAGTTTTTTTTTTACGCCATTACCATTCTTTATACAGTAAAATTTTACTTTAACAGTATCAAATAGTCATTTTTTAATTTTTTTTTTTCTTTTCTTTTTTTCTTTTCTTTTTTTTTTTTTTTTTTTTTTTTTCTTTATTGATTTTGCATTATTCTAAATCCTTACAAATATTTTCTTATTACCACCAGCTACTAATGTATATCCAGGAATAAATTTGGATAAAGGAATAGGAACTGCATTTGAAGGTTATGCCAAGGTAATTTTTTTTTCTCCCTACCACCCAAATTTTTGAAATACTAAATTATAATTTTTTTTTTTTTTTTTTTTTTTTTTTTTTTTTTTTTTGATGTCTCAATTTTAATTTACTTTATGAAAATTATTTTATTTTTCTTGATTTCACATTTTGTCTTTTTTTCTAGGTCCCTAAGCCCGGTGGGATAAAGAAGGGTTGGACTCGACAGTTCATTGTTGTCTGTGATTTTAAATTATTCTTATTTGACACTACAGCTGAAACCTCACATATAACTCATCAAGTTCTTGATATGCGGTAACTTTTTTTTTTCTTTTTGTATATTTTTCTCTATTGAAATAGTGTCCTCTCTTTTACTTCAATCTAATGTGCTATCAAAGTTAAATGCTGAATGATTTTTTATGTTTGTAAGAAAAAATATTTTTGCATAAATGTTGCTTGAAACAATAGGTTTAAGCTTAACATATTCTATAGAAATGTAAAATGGTTTTACCTTTTAAAATTGTTTCTTTTCAGAGATGAAGAGTTTTCAGTTAGGGCAGTATTACCTTCTGATGTAATACATGCTAACAAAAAAGATATTCCATGCATATTTAGGGTAAGAACATTTTATTTTCTCATTTGTACATTGACTGTTCCAATGTGTCAAAAAAATAAATATATATCTAAAGTAATAAATGGCATTTACACTAATTTTACTATCTAAAACTAATAATGTTCTACAAAAACAGTTATTACTTTTTATAATAACTGGATGTTTCTTTTTACATATATAAGTTAAAACTCTTCCATTATAGTAGATAAAATTTGGAAATTTATTATTAATTAATTAAATTACTATTAGAAAACTATTTGTTGATCTTTTTTTTTTTTTCCTTTTTCTTTTTTTCCCCACCCCCAGGTGACTACCAGAGAAATGAACCCTCCTGGTTCTTCTCACCAAGTTCTCATGCTTGCTGATAATAAACAAGATCGCCAACGATGGGTCACTTCTTTAGGGGAACTTCAGAAACATATGAGAAAAAGTAAATTATGTAATAAAGTGGTAAGTCATTATTCAAACCTGCATGTTTTTTTTTGTAATCAGAGAAATAATAAATTTATTCACCAGTATAATATAGGAAGCATTATCAAATTTTTATATATATATATATATATTTTTTTTTTTTTTTTTTGTGAATCTATAAGATGTTCAACTTGTTTCTAATTACTACCCCATATTAAGATTGTGAGAATACCTACTCATTACATTTACTACTACATTTAAAATAGTATTTAAAGACATTTGAAACATTTCAGGATTTGTTTCAGGTTTCCAATAAAGTAAGAATTTTTTATTTTTTTTTTTAAATTAGTACTAAATTACAAAACTATAATTTTTGGAGAACATTTAATTCAAATTTTGTATTTATTTTCAAAGATTTACGCAATGGAATCTCTGACATTTAAATATGGTGGTTCTTAAGAAATTGTACTTACTGGAAAATAATTGTGAAGAGTTCCATAAGTCATTTGATTTTTAGTTATTGAATTATATCATTAATCAGTAAGAATCAAAAACTAAATTTTGTACTTTTCATTAGCATAGACATAAAGTGTACATGCAGTTTTAACACATTCAATGGCATCTTTTTCTGAGTTATAGTTGACATGTACCCCCCAAAAAAGCAGACATGACTTTATAATATAGATACAGAATTTTATGTAATATTTTAGTCACTATCAGCTTTATAACTGCAAACTTTGAGTAGAATTACAACAAAATCATAAATAACCAGATTGTAATTTTAATGACTGTATTTATTTAAAACATTTCTTTCTAACAGTTATTTTTGGTAAGAAATAAAATTAGCAAGAATATACTTTTAAACACAAAAACTTAGTAAAATATAACTTTATCATAATAAATATTTATATGTTTAAAATGCAATATATAGATAAATTGCAATATTGAGGTAACCAGATATGTTATAATTCAAATTGTATAACAGTTCATATTCAGCAGCTGGAAATTGTGTCATACATGAAACTCAGTCATACTAGCGGTGAGGGATAATATGTATATTTGTTAATATACTATATAATGTTATATTAGTAATATTTTATTAACACTAGAACTATTGTACATATATATATATATATATATATATATATATATATATATATATATATATATATATATATATATATATATATATATATTTAAAAATCAGGAGGTTAAATTAATGAACACTATATTAATTTAAAAAATAAATAAACAAATGCACAACATTGGGTGTAATAGAAAGGGAGGTGGAGGATGTAAACAAGGAAGAAGCAGGAAGAGAAGAAACCCAAGGGTATTATAAATGTAT